AGAGGATTTTTTATTTGTTGACTTTTCAATTAAAGATTTAAAATATAAAAAATTTAGTCATTAATGAAATGTCGTCTTTCTATTTATTTTTAATAAAAACATTTAAAATTTAAGCCAGCAAAAATGCTTCAAAATTAGAAAAAAAAGGTTGCTGCTCGCTGGATTCAAACCCGCGACCAAGCCCACAAAACGCGCTTTCTTGAACCCAGTTTACCATTAAGCTACTCCTTTGACATATGCTCAGGGGGTTCAATTTTAAATATATACACGTAAACAAAAAAATCAATCTTATATATGCAGTGTAATTTTTTTATCGAGGGGGTTCGGATGAACCCCCTCGGCACACTGTACATCCGCCTCTGACCTACATGCTGCCAAGGAACAGAATGAGACCCTCCGTGCTGAACTTGAAGCTTCTCGCAATGCTCTAGCTATGTCTCAGGGAAAAGTTGCTTGATTAAAGGATCCGCTGGTGCAGCAATAAAGTGAGTCCAATGCCCGTATGGATCGTGTTCTCCAACTCCTTGCCATGACCCAACCTTTATCCCACCCTTCTCCTTCAACATCTTAACCATTCCATTTTACTTTGATCACTGTTGAAACAATGTCATGTTATTTTGTGTTTTTGCTCTGGATGGATATTTTGGTGAAGCTCTTTGTGAGCTTAAAACTCTAGTGCTATCTGTTGTATATGACTACTTTGTTCCTGCTTATGATGTGTTTGTGTTACCTTGGCTTAAGATGGCTAATATCCTTAGATTGATTTTGACTTGTCTGATGCTTTCTATATGTGTTGTCCATAAGGATTCTCAATTTTAATATAACTTGGTTCTGTTATATGCTCACCTCTTCTTTTTGATATATAGATTTATCATCATCAAAAATGGGGGAAATGATAAATCAAATACGAATTTGATGATCGACACCTTGAACTAGGTTTACCTTGCTGGTTCACCTTGGAAAGCTTACAACTCAAAAGCCAAATAACGGAAATATTAATATAAAAAAAGAAGAGTTTTTGCACTAAAAAAGGAAGTTGAGTCGGAAGAAGTTTTGTATGAATAAGGAGACATGACAAGCCAAGTTATAAAAGGAAAAGGTTTTGCAATTAAAAGAATAAGTCGAAATATTTTCCTAATAAAACTATAACTTCTCTCCTTATACATATAGGATTCGAACACAGTTCAACATCTATAAAAGGACAAGAGAGACCAAGGAAGAAGTAGTCTTTGCATACTTCAAAACGAGAGAAAGTGAGAGAGAATCATAGCAAAGGCCAAAGGTGTTTAAATAGTAGAGTAAGAAAGAATTCTAGACTTAGATTTTTTTCAAGTTAGGTGAGTCACATTGATTCATAGTTGAATCAGTGGTTGTGAGGGTTGTGAGAGTTTGTGAGTTTTGTAAACAATAAGTGGGTTTGACTTCTTGGGTGGTTAGAGTTAAGAGAGAGTTGTGAGAGAATTGTAACAAGAAGTGAGTTTGACTTCTTGGAGAGTTGAGAGTTTTCGATTATAGTTAATCGAAAAGGGTAGAATTTTAGAGTTATATTCATTGATTGACTGAGTTGTAAATCTTGAATTAATATAAAATTTTGGTGTGGTTTTTCCCTTCCATGAGTTAGGAAGGTTTCCACGGTATATTGGTGTCACTGTTTATTAACATAAGTTTCTTGTGTGTATTATTCAAGAACCTGGTTCTTGAGTATTGGGTAAGGTTTCTTCACTGTATCCGAGTTTGCATGCAAAAATTTTCAACCATGTGAAAATACCTGCTCAATTGATCAAGAAGCATGACTTCCCTTCCACTTCTACAAGCTCTCGATCTCAAGAAGTTGTGCTTAGCCAAGAATTCTTGAGACACACTTCATGTTCTGCTTTAATTAGATATGTATTTATCGAATCAACTGAACGCGTTACATATAGGAAATATATGACATATATATAGGGTGAAGTATGATATATACATCAATTGTCGACTCGATGTTCTAGTATTAATCCACAATCAATGCTGAAAGAACTTTTGTGCAATGTATTTGAGGTACCTTTAAGGCAAAAGTGATGTATGAGGAGAATTAATGAAAGAAGAATTTAGAAGCAGAGGCCTGATTTAGAATTTGAAGTTTATAGAAACCTACAATGACCTTAAGTTAATATACCTAATAACTGTGTTCACAATCAAATACAAAGTCTCTGGGTAAAATCTTTTGGGCTCACGTGAACTCATTGGTTACAATATCGTAGATCCACCTCTACTTGTTACCTTCATCAGAATAGGTATTAGGTGATGTTCGAGCGAACTTGCACACTAAGACTACAGAAAATGAGGAGAATTACGTACTACTTAATAGCACTTACTTAAAATGTAAAGAGAAGGGGTGTATTAATGTATGAGACAACTATAGTTAGTTAAAACTGAAAGAGCAGGGTGTATTAATACATAATTACATAAGACAAATATAGTTAGTTATTAAGCAGCACAAGACAAACCATCTTCTCTATCACTTTATTGAGATCATCTACTTTCACCAAAATCATGGTTCACCCTTCAGATTTGTAGTCATCAGCGGCTTCAGATTCATCGTCATCACTAGCTTCAGATTTGTTGCTATCATTAGCTTCAGATTCGTCGTCATCACTAGCTTTCGATTATGTTTCACCACTTTGATGATTGACCATTTAGTCCTAATTAAGAAGCTCAGATTAGTGGGTCCACATAGATAGATATGGTTCTATACCCTGACAAGGTTATAGGGCATGAAGCCCGTTCAACTGAAATTATAAGTCGGACATCATGAGCTCACATGATGCATGTGGTTACAAGAAACTTCCCAATTTATGCATCTTTTACGATATGCTCTTACTTTATTTAATTCTTTTTTAAGTATGCTATTTACATTTATGATTATGCAAGGCTACTGAAAGAGACTCATCTCTATATATGCTTATGAAAGAAGATTTTGAATGGTATTTAGACATGAACTTCAATTGTCTCTTCAAGTTCTCTTAGTATGTATATGATTTTGGAAACCTTATTTCACTGTCCTGGTTATGCCATTTTCATGATTATTCTAGTGTCCCTTCCTTACTCAATACATTCCACGTACTGACACACACTTTCTCTGCATTGCATCCTTTTATTATGTAGATTTCGATGCCCATTCTCAAACTCATGGCTAGTGAAGTTACATCATTTCCAATCAGCAGATGGTGAGCCTTCATTCTTTGAGGGAAAAATTATTCAGAGTTCACAGTTTATATTATTTCTTACTTGTAGCTTAGAGTAGTTTGGGGATTTGTCTCAGCTACTCATCAGTAATAGTTGAGGCTTCATAGACATTTAGTCAAACAATTCTATTTAGTTTTCAAATAATGTATATTTCAGTCACATTACCTTTTAGTAATTGTGTGTGCTATATGAGTTCATCCCTTGTATTTAATTAGCTTCCGCATTTGCTTTCGGTTTGAGTTGTATGTTTCTGACCCAAGGATTAGCTTGGGGCCACTCTTGATTCTAAGTACCATGTTATATCCAGGGTGTACATTCGGGCTGTGATACAAACGATATATAACTCAATCACAGAATGATAAAAATCTAAATACCTCTCATTCCTTTTTTTAAAAATATAAAAATGAATAAATGTGCATATCTATAAAACTTTATTGGTCTAGAAAAAGTTCTAGATTCACGTGAACTTATAACTTTAAAACT